CAATAAAAAGGAAATTCAAACATTGACAAGATGAGAATAAGTAAAGAGATTTGATTACAATTAAAAGGTTATAAGAAAGAAAAGTGGATTGAGCAACAATAAAATATTGAAAGAGGTAATTATATAAAGGTTAGGATAGCACCTGTAAACATTAGATATGACTGGGTAGGAAGGGTGATCTCCTAGGAATTGCGCTGACCACTGAGACAGAAGCTGTCTCAGAGATCGCAGTATCCTTTAGGACTTTGTGATTCAAATAGAGCACCCAATCCAATCTAGAATTTAATTAATAATTGTTTAATTGTCGTGATACTAAGCAGAAAAGATGCACTACATTAAAACATGGACTAAAGAAAGAAACCATTTACAAAAACATCACAGTGAAATGTCTAAGTTGGAGGAATTACAGGAAAACTGGATTCTCAGCAGTAATTTTAGCCTGACTAGTTGAAAATAATAAGGTTAAGCGTAGTCATGTTTTGAGTTAGTATTGTAGGCATTACAATTCAAATTTCCTTTAAATGTGATGATGCCGTTAATTTAGATACGGAGAATTATTGCCAGTTATTATACAAAATTTATTTTCGGAAGTACAAATCACGCCCAAACAAAGCGAGTGTTTTCATACAAAAAAAAAAGTGTCCTTTCAAATTCTAGAATTGACAACTTTGTCCAAAAAAATATTTCGAGGAAACAAATTTAATAGGACGGGTCCCTATTTTCGGCATCTATTAATATAATAGAAAAATATGGTCTCTTAGTAAGGTGTGTAAATAAAAAAAAAATACCCAGATACAAAATATGCCTGGGAAGCAAAATATCTGTTGAATATGATGTTAGATTCGACATAGAAGAAAAGTTAACAAAATCAGTTGTTGAAAGACGGATAAGGGGCATATTATCATGTAAAAAAAAAAAGAAATAATTTATTCATGCATATAGCACATTGTGCTGATCAAATTTACGTGTTTTTATGGGCACCTTTTAGTTTTATTTATTTAAATTACATTTAGAAACCGCTAAAACTGTTATCACTATTTTTAACAAGGGTTTATATATTACAAACTGATACTCATTTGATATATTATTCATAACAAAGTGGACACGATTTTTCGTGTGATGCGTTTTGTCCTTTAGGACATCATCCGACTAAAGTGATGTTTATGTTGATGTAAATGAACATGCACACGACGGGAAATGGACGTTGGGAATTAAACTTGATTTTTTTTAAATATATGTTTGGGTATATAGTCTCGGCAGGTTAATTTCTTTTTTGATTATGTTTTCATCATTTTTGTATTATTAAATATCACGTATTTCGTAGACGAAACTTTTTGTAATCGTTCTGTCCACTCGTCAGGAGATTTCGGCCATTGATTGGCGATTTTCTCATTTTTGTTATTTTTATATTTAGTTAAATTAATTTATGCATTACTTATTGGTGTTAGGCTGACTTTTAGTGTATGTGTGCCTGTTTCTATGTGTACGGGTTTGCAGGTGTGTATGCATAGATTGTCGTGGCTATTTCTCTTTTCAAAATGTTCTTGTTTACTTATACTCTCTCCTTATTCACTTTTCTTCTTTCTACCCTCTTTCGGCTTTGAATGTGAAATTATATATATATATATATATATATATATATATATATATATATATATGTATATATATAAAACTAACGGAAAATAAATTGCTACGCCAATTTTGATTTTGACCTGGGTACGTACATATTAGTAAATCCAAATCCAGGATCTGATCACCTCTGTTGGAGGAACCCCTCACCGACTGACCATGTTTTCAGGGCTATAGCCATACTGACCACACTGGGCCAATTTCGGGTTAGTGATGTTGGTGAGGCCATTTAACTCATAGCCGGATGTTGCCTCCCAGTCTGTTCTGCTATTTACCCATAGCTTGGGAGAGAAGAGATGGATTCATACGTGCTCCAAGGGTATTTTCACATAAGTGAATGCATCAGACTCGACTAAGATTCGAACTCGGCTCCCCGATTTCTCTGTCCGAATCGCTCCACCGTATCTCCATTAATATCGTGTAATAGTGAATATTATGATTAAACATTCAAAGCCATCATTCATCTTGTAATCTCGCAACCCTTATATCATTACACCTCAGCTTTAGACAGTGGTTCATGCTGCAATGAGATCCACTGTGGTGCAAGTAGCTGTCATGCAGCAAAAATGCACTTGTGGTACTTTGGTTCCGTTGGCGCCATTTTTCAGAGATGCTATTAGGATGCATTGCTTCATAAAGTTGGTAATTTCAGAGAATTGCTAGGTATGGGGGGGGGGCATATGACGTGTTCGTGTTGTTGGCAACAGTGGCCAAATGATCATTTCCATATCAGTGTACTACGTTCTAGATATCCACATTTTTCCAGATGCTGGACACATATCAAATGCAGCAATGACGCACTTGCGTAGTTAAGATGTCAGCCTATACTCCACGGGGGAGTCTACAGGGTTAACAGCAACAAAAAAGCTGTACACTGCACAATGCCCACAGCACAAATCAGAAATCTAAATAAGGAGGGTCAATATTCGAAAACCGCTCACTTGCATTACGATTGCGGACTTGTATACCTTGAGGAGAATGTTTACTTAACATAATCATCCACATCTCTAGTGGTTCCACGAAAGGGTCATCGGTAGGATAAACCAGTGCTCTGTCGTCTTCAATAATAACATCAGATTCTTTTTTTTATGCAAGTGATTTTTATTCGAGTTTGCAGAGACAGAGAGCTAGGGAACGGCGTGTATGCACCCACGACACATAGGCTCAAACTATGGCACACCGTAATTCTTTCTTTTTAGTTGAACAGTACCAAGGTCATGAACATTGTCTAAAATGTTCTGCGGCAATTCCTGCAACAAGAATGTGATGTAGTCTACAGCATCATGACAGATATTTTTTGTTATTATTGTTCATCGAATACAAGGCCCAAGTAGCACTCAATGTAGAGTGTTAGTGAATGGGCTGTTATAAGACGGGAGATAATAGGTAAGGATTATGAAAATGGGTAGAAAAGATAACGGATAGCCCACATGTGTAACATGTGGATGTACAATTTTCGAGGGAATTTCACCTAGAAATTAAACATAATCTATCTGGAGAATTTCAATATTTCAATAAATTGATTTGCTTAAAAGTCAATCTATTCAGTTTTGTTCCTCTCTTATTAAAATTTGCATTAACTCATTGATTCATATTATTAAATCCGGTAATAAGTATAAAAATAAACAAATCTGTTATTAATTATATGTAGAAGAAGAAGAAGAAGAAGAAGAAGAAGAAGGAGAAGAAGAAGAAGAAGAAGAAGAAGAAGAAGAAGAACGTGTTACTCGTATGCTATGTGGAATAGGACACGGAGTTGATTCTTTGGGCTGTGGATCAAGCCGCAGATATCAGAGCGTACCTCTGACCTTTACTCTTTTAGTGCAAGATCTGGTACTGTCAGTGGAGACGGTTTCCAGGAGCCTAGGCTATATCCTTTGGCATCCAAGTGAATAGTGAGTCCGGTCAACAATGAGGACTACACAACGATTGCTTTGCGCCAGACCAAACTAAGTTTAATCTATCTATCTATCTATCTATCTATCTATCTATCTATCTATCTATCTATCTATCTATCCCATACTGTTTATCTATCTATCTATCTATCTATCAAAGTTTATTTTTCATTTTATATATATATGGTTCTAATTGGATTGTATAAAGACAGAGGAGTCGCAGTGCTTTAGTTCATCATGAGAAGAGTTGTAACTGACCACACAAGTCGGTATCCGATCAGCATCGACTGGGTCATCGTGGAGAGGAGTATGATATTGAAAGACCTGAAACCCCTAATGATCCTGGACTAAAATCATTATTGATAACCTGTTCCAAAGCATTAAATATCTATCTAACTCTCTCTCTCTCTCTCTCTCTCTCTCTCTCTCTCTCTATATATATATATATATATATATATATATATATATATATATGTGTGTGTGTGTGCGTATATATGTATTTGTACACTCAAAGAAAAAGTTGTTTAACCCAGTAGTGCAGTTTATGGCTATCTATCTATCTATCTATCTATCTATCTATCTATCTATTAAACTTATTTCATTATTACACAGTCATATGGATTGGGTGAAAAGGAATACTGTATTGTGCCAATCTTCCCAGTGGAAGGTTGTTCCTGCTTTGAAAACCAGCATTCAAAAAGTTCTTTCAACTAGGGTTCGAGCAACGACCACTGCACTGGCGTCCGTAAAAAAAAAAAAAAAACTTAGCAAGCTGCTTTTCGTTATATATATATATATATATATATATATATATATATATATATATATATATATATATATATATATATATTATTGAATCTATCAGTCACCATAAAATAAAATCTACCAACTATTTGCTGAAGTTGTCCAAATATCAATCCGATCCAGCCGGAGATATTCCTTGACACACATCTCAACTTGTTTTTTCTACTGTAATAAAACATTTTTGTTGGATCTATTTTTCAGTCTATCTTAATTCAATACATTCAGCGCCCTCCATTCCACTTAAAAGAGAGAGGGCATGAACTGCTTTCTTTTTGGCCTGGTTGAGGTGGCAACGTCTCATTTTTATCTCACAGACTATGCTTCGTTATCAAATAAGCCTACCATGCTTAAGACTTCCAAAAAAGCGATTTAAAAATTGAACTTATAGTAAAGAATTTAAAACGCACGCTGTGCTTCTCCCTTTTTTTCCTTCGGGAATTACAGTGGCTGAACTTCAGTCAAAAAGCGGACTTTTGCTTATTTTTGAAATTCTCTAGGAATTTTCCGATTCACCATTATATTTTCACAAACTGTATGGTAGAATTGTTGAAATTAAAACATATTTAGAACAAAAAAAAAGTTAGAACGAAAACAGTAAACAACAACAACAACATCATCATCATCATCATTAACAACAACAAATTTGCCTAATGTTTGGCATCTAGAATTGGGCTAGGCTTGTTGCCTGTAAAGTATTAGAAATGGTTTGTCTTTATTTAATCGACGCGTGCGCAGAAAGCGAAGACGATCTGATGGCCGCTTTTTCCGGCGGGATTTGTATAACAACATGGGTCGAATTTTTCGTCCACATCTCTCGCAAGTAATACGTAATCGCAAGGCGTTCACGCCTGTCGCCTTCGCCGATGGTGACACGTCATCTTTGGTCCCTTTTTTGCTATCAGGTAAAGTCATGGACGATATCTTGTCTGCCGTATAGGCTGACAATCGTTGAACTGGCAGCACGATTTTTTGATATTGACTCTTTTTTATCCGGGTTTTCAGTGACGTCATCAACGTTTCGTTGCCAGTTTCGGGATTAATCTCATACACGTGGATGATGATCCTGCGTCCTTTGGCTCTCACTGGTACTCTTTGGCGTTTCTTTATGAACAGCCAAAGATAGGCCTCGACTATTTTGGACTGCTCTCCCTTAGAATAGATGTTGAACTGAAGCACGTTGTCATCGCTGAGTTTTCCTGAAAGTAAAAAAAAAGGCACGCAAATATTATCTTAAAAATTCAAAAGGTTGTTTTCTTACACAAAAATTAAGAAGCGTTTTCATAAAAAAAAACCTAGACGTTTGAATGATAATTTAATTATTGACTAAAGTATTGACTCGGAGGATCCAGTGTAGTCATAAGGATAAACATTGCATGGTGATTACCAGTTTCACGCTTCCATGTTATCTTCAGACAAAGTGATACAACTATTTAAAAGTCTGTATATAAGAAAGATATTAAGCAATTGTTGTATCTCGTGTTTTCGAGATAACAGAGGGAAATAAATAAGGAAGACAAACTCGTAGATAAGTAAGGTTAGAAGGTTTACTACACAAAAGGTACACTTAGCAATTCACCTAATGCTAACTTAGTATTTACTCCGAGCTCCCCACAGAGCGGGATGTGGCACAAGGCCGCTTTAACGTGGATTTTTCCGAGTCCTTAGGCCCGGGCAAAAATTCCCCGTAGAGCCTGTAATAACAGTGTCGGGTTTATTTACCTCTCTAGACGAGACTCTGCACTTCGGCATAGTTCCGTCTGGGTTCCTCTCTGTCCAAAGGCAGAGAATTCGACAAGCAATAACAGCTTAGCGCACGTCCGAACCTATTACAAACTCAGTATTTATCTGAACTCTCTACAGCGCGGGATGTGGCACAAGGCCGGTTTAACGTGTTTTTTTTTTCGAGACCGTAGGCCAGGGAAAAAAAAATTACCCCGTAGACCCCTGTAATAGCGGGGTCAGGTTTAGTTTCCCTTCCCAGACGAGACTGCCGTTCGGCAGAGATTTAGACAAGCACTAAGAGCTTAGCGCGTGGCTAAGACCTAATGTTAACACTCCTCAACTCCGCTTATTTGCATAAACGGACAAATTCATTCATTTATATCCTATCACTAATTGGAAAAAGTAATAATAGTTACTGGAATTAAGAAACCGATTTTCCCGAAAAAATGTTTTAATAAAAAGATTTTATAAGTATCATCCAGAAGTAGCACTGGCTACATTGAATGCTGAATGTTTCCTTATAAGGAAACGGTTAATATTACTATACTCGTTAGTGATATGGAGAACAGGTGCCGTACTTATATCCTAACCTAATGACCACGGAGTGAAATAGAGTGCCACTCGAGTAGCACTGTCCCGCTCGGTCAATGAATATCGGATATTTCCCCTTAAGGGAAAGGTCAATATTAACATTAACATTAACATTCTTAATGATCCAAATAGTTTACAAGGATTCACGTGCAAGTTTCAAGCCACATTTGACCGTTCTTTATAAATTCTCCGGCTCCAATATATATATCAGCTCACTAAAGTGCATTTCACTGTTGACGGAGAAACCCAAAGAGATTCTATTTACACAACTTCTCTTGTTGATTGCCGAACACAAGTGGTTTATGTAATTTGTCTCAGTGATATTTAAAATGCCGGGAAAGTTTGCCGACAGTGTGTGTAGGCGTGCATGTATATGTACGCGTGTGCGTGCATGTGTGAGTGCATGTGCATGTGTATGTAGAAGTATGCATGTGTGCGCGGGTATGTATATGTACGTCTGTGTATGCGTGTGTACGTGCATATGTATGTATGCATGTACGTACATGCCTCTGTATAGATGCCTGTTTGACTCTGTGTGTGTGTGTGTGTGTGTGTGCAGTAGAGCAGCCCGATTTTGGAACTGTGGTAGTGCATTCAATTTGAAAGTTGGGGTTTGACATGATGAATAATGACACAAAACATTTTTCCAAGACGTTACCGTTTTTTTTAAAGAAACGAGTTCAAAGTTTAGGCTCAAAATCTTAGCGTTGGAATTCCATTCCGATGATCAGTGAAAGCACAGGCTTATAAAAGTTAGAATTTACTGAAGCTTTACAAATGTTATATGGACAAAATGCAGAGTAAAGTACTTTTTCCAAGATCATTATACAATTAAATAAAATATGTGAGCGTCACAGATGCAGATGTGGAGCCGCCATCGATGAGTTTGGTTTGCATCCTCTCTCCTGTCGTCGCAGTGCCGGCCGTTTTCCACGGCATGCAGCCATTAACGACATCATCAAAAGAGGTTTGGATGCAGCTGGGTTCCCTTCCCAAATCGAACCCGTAGGCCTCGACCGCAGTGATGGAAAGCGGCCGGATGGCATTACCATTTTCCCTTTTAAAATGGAGAAGTCGTTGATTTGGGATGCGAACTGTTTCGGTCGGTAATTTGATCAGGTCCGCGGTTGAGCCAGCATTCGTCGCCCGGGACGCAGAGATGAAAAAAATAGTTAAATATTCTTCTCTTGCTGATAGATTTTTTTTACTCCTGTGGCAGTGGAGACTTCGGGGGTTATTGGCCCTCGTTCGATGGTGTTTCTTTCGGAGGATTGGCGCGATTGCGTCTCGATTAAGGGACGAGCCTCGCGAAACGGAGTGGCTCTTGCAGCGTGTCTCACTGGCCATGGTTCAAGGTTATACTTTCTCTAACATTGCGGCTGGCAGAGGTTAGAAAAAATTGTTTATAGTTACGTTGTTCTGGAATTGTCATCAGTGGTCAACTGTGATTGATTTATAAATTTTAATTTGTTAATTTAAAAGTCAATAAAGAACAACTGATTTTTTTCAAAGGAAAATTATACTGAACAATTTAGCTATATTATGATGTACTATTTTATACAACGCAGTGGTTTTCGTTTCAATAAACAATGCAAATTTAAAACATTTTGTCTTATAATTTGTGACCAGCAGTATTATGGCGTTGCATACCCTTTTATTTTTTGTTTATTTACATCTTTTACAATATTTTTTGCACAGCTTTTGCTTACATCAAATACAATAAAAATATTGCATATTTTGCTTGTGATGATTCATAATTACAATTCTGTTTCGAATATATTTTCTATTAAATGTATCTAAGATCAACTTTATTTGGATTTATACTTGAAATAGTAAAATTTTAAAGAGTGTTTGTAAACAAAAACCGGCATAGATTAGATATTTCTGGTCATTTTTTTGATTTGATCTTTAAAAGTAAATGCTCAAAATTGCTAAAAGGTATGCATCTGGTTTTTGCTGTCAGTACTTCTCACAAAGCACTCTTACTCTAAGTGCAATGTTGACTTTCTCAAAAAGCCAAAGATCAAACTGCCTCAGTGTACAGTTTTAATGGGAGATTCTCGGACTATACACACTGAGATAGTATCGTTCAACTGAAATGCTCGCACGGATAGTGCTCACTGTTCCTCGGCCGATTGAGTCTGTCTTCCAACAGGTTTCATGCTGGTATCCAGTTATTATGCGAGAGAATGAAATGTTGTATTGGAACTGCTCTGCTCACTTCACGTTGCTGGACAATTCCTAACGAAAAACTTGCATCGAAATACTTTCACAGAAGAAAAAATAATTTAGGTTGGCCAATTCCCGTCAGCTCAATTGACATTCAGGGCAATTAACCATCGACAAAACACCTAGAAATGTGCATAACATACATAAACGCATCCATTGACGGGAGACAAGGAAGAACTCATCAGCTCCCATCAGAAAAATAACGATTGATACAGCATTTAAATTTTGTAAGATCAAAGTTGGCTAGACAGCAAGAAGTTGGAAGAGAGTTTCACAAGCGATAATTTCCAGTGAAGAAATCATTCACCTAGAACTTACAGTGAACTTTGGTCTTCAAAAATTTAAATGCAATCACAAATGTTATCTCATGTCTTAATACTTTTTCTATTATTGACCTCGTTCCTAAATAATATTTTGTTTTTCTCATATTCTTCCACACACAGTAACCCATTGCAACTTAGGAAAAATTAACAATAACCACCATTAAGAATCAAAACACTTATTAAACAAGAGCAATGAAATAATGGGGAAATGCAGACATTTAAACAAGTATACTAATAAAAAAGAAAAGTAATTGGGAATCAATTTCTTTCATTTATGTAAGTTTGGCTAAAAACTAAAGTCCTTTATTAAGAAATGTTTTTGCTCTTTTTACAAAACTTTTTCTCTATTTTGCATCACTTTCTAGGTTTCCGGTGAAAGTTTAAATATGCATTTTCCAATAGCTACGCACTTTCAGGGATCATAAGTTATTATCAAAGAGTTACCTCCCTGCAACTATCAGAAAAATGTTTTTTTTTGTTGGTTTACCTGAAAACTAACCAGTCATTTTGAATTATTTGAGAACTCCTTGCACGAGCTCTGATGTAAGTTGGCAATCCGTGAGAGCTGACATTACATCGTGCTCGCTTGGACAGTTACAGGTTTAATTATTCGGCAGTAAATGTTCCCCTGTATTGCGTGAATGCCACATTTACGGTGACGGAGCAGAGAGCTTTTTTATGTTGTGTGCCGCTGTTTTTTTTCTTGTTTGTTTGATACATATGACATCATGTAGTTTACTCGTGGAATGCCAGACAAAAGATCTTTTTCGTCTGAATTTCTTTATGTTAGTGTTGCTTTTCCACATTGTCACTTAACTGACGCTGCAACTAAATTCCAGATATGACTCTATGTGTCCTCTGGCTAAAACGAAAGTTAAAATTGCCGTTAAAACACTGTGTATGGGATTAAATATTAAATATAGCGCGGGGAAATAGCTATTTCTCACGAAATACTATAGTAGTTCGAAAACAAAAGAAAAACATTCTACAAAAGTTTTTTAAAAATACACGAATAGAATTACTAGATTTTTTTAAGTGTATATTTTTATGAATTTTTATAAAGATAATAAAATACAATTTTTATAATTTTTTTATGACAAAAATATAGTTTTAAGGCTTGGTATATTTATGGCTAAAAGTACTCAATATCAGTGACAGAGCGTATGTAAATATAAAAGTGGACACTAAAGTCAACACCAAACGGCAAAATTCTGATGCCTGCTTGGAGGCAAACTTCAGGTCTATAGTCTTAAAATTGAATTGTCCACTTTTATATTTAGGTAATATTTTAATAAAGTTAAAATTATTATAAAGGCAAATTTCTGAATTGCTTCGAATAAGAAATCTGATAAAAACAACACATAACAGCACACACACACATAACATGAACCTCACAAACAATCAGAGTTGTAAGCCATACCAGCAGTAGTGTGTCTATGACAGATTAGTCTGACGAAGTCCATACGTCTTCGGGTTGAATTCGAATCTTTACTTTTTTTGGACTGGTTGCCACCTAAAAGGCTTGTGAGCATAGTCAGCGATGTTATAAACGTAAATGAGACGTAATTCGAACTCGGATTGCCGGTTTCTCTTTCAGCGTCGTTAACCTTTAAACTACCTGAATATCCGACATGACTAACAATCATCTATAAAATGATGGGTGTCGACATCTTTTTAAAAGCAATTCGTACTGAACCGCCATGCTTACTTCTTAAATTTTAAACGAAAATTAAACGATTTTTAACGAATAAAACGATGAACGTATGTTTCGGAGACATCTGTTGCACAACTGTATTTATTCGTAGCAAGAAACTTACCTGATACCCCTGAAGAACTTTTAAACTACCTGAATATCCGAGATGACTAACAATCATCGATAAGAGGATGGATATCGGCATCATTTTAAAAGCAATTCTTATTTGTTTCCCTGATAGCTATAATCTCTAAATATTCAAATGCAAATTCAATCGACATCTACAGATGTCTTGATCTAATTCCCCGTCCTTCTTTTCATCCTTTCCTCTACCACGCCTCTTTACTCTTGCTCCCATTTTCTTTAACTCCTTGCGTGCTAGGGGTACTCGCGCCTTGCTTGGGGTAAAATGCATACTGAGCCGCCATACTTAATTCTTAATTTTTAACGAAAATCAAACTATTTTTAACTAATGAAATGATGAACATTGAAGAATGAACAAACCATTAATTGTGATTAAGACAGTAAAATACTCCGAGTCGTCTTTCTCGTACAAATCATTTATAATTCTCCTGTATGTTTCGGAGATATCTTTTGAACATCTCTATTTATTTTTAGCGCGAAACTTACCTGAGACTTGCGATGAAAATATCAAATTAAGAGTCGGTATATTACTTTTTGGCGGAGATGTTACAACATCGAAATTAGTGATTATTTGCGTCCGATTCGTGAGCTGCGTTTTGTTCAGTGATTTGGGGATGCTGTTGCGTATTGTAATCAACCGATGCATTACTCGAAGCTTATTCTGCTCTTGGTAACAATTGAAGCATTTGTTGTAGAATGGCCACTTGTCAGGACTTCCAGGAGCCCGGATGAACGGTGGTTCAGGAGCCTGATTCCCTCCAATGTACAGCAAAAAGATCACCAAACTGTAAGCGTTTCTGATTGGAGACAAAATTTTCATGGCTTTTCAAATATGATGAACGTCAAGGGTCAGACTGAAAGGAAACAGAAATAGAAAGATATATATATATATATATATAAAATGGTTGAATACAAAATCGCTGTTTCATCATTGTCTTAATTCCATTTAAAAATCATTTTTATTCATAAAGAAATTTAACTTATTCTAAAAATATAGATTTAGTCAATGAGTTCTTATTAAGTAAATTTTCTACTTAATAAGCGAACGAACATTTTGGTCAAAAGGTCGTTCAGTTTATTAAGTAAATCTTCTACTTAATAAGTGAACGAACATTTTGGCTAAAACGTTCGTCCAGTTTATTAAATAAGTTTATTAAATAAACGAGAATCGGTGTAAAAAAAGCAATAAGGGCGTAAGCCAAGTCCTATATTTACATGGCATTATATAAAAAAACTTCTCTGGAAGTACTCACGGCCTCTAAAATGCGAATCGGGGGACTGAATTCAAATTCCTGCCTGGTCTATACCCATGGTAATGTCATTAATCGATCTTCTCTATTCGATCACCCTTCGTTTGTAACCAGTCAAGAAGGTCATCTTTTAAAATCAGACAATGAATAAAGCGCCTTTAGTTCAGTTTTTTTCTCTCATCCTATATAGACAAGCTAATGGCAATACGTATCAATTCCAAATATTCATGAAATCTAAGGTAATTGAGATATATTTATTATCAAGCGTTTCACTGATCCTACGTATGGGACATCAGCAATGGACCTAGAAGAGCAAAAGCCATACTGTTTGTCGACCAGAATTTGTTTTTGCAGAGGTGCTTTAACAAATGTCTTGTTTATAATAGCTTTTAAATGTTTTCTAATGAGGTTGATTGTGCGTATAAACTGGCGCTCCTCTCGCGTTCAGAAAACAAAATCCTTCAGTGACCCTCTACCTCGAGTAGTTGTTGGGTCTTTTATTGGGTGAACATTAGTAAAATAAATTTTCTCTTGAAAAGATAAATGCTTCTAGATTTAACCACTATTGCTAAATTGGTTCACTAGTTGTAATTTGGGGATCAGTTTGAAAGCCCAAGGTTAAATAATTTTGAATTTACTTTCCTCTCATTGGTAGACAACGTTTCTTTAAAAGTAAAATGTTTCAAATAGTGAAGCTAAAACCGTGTTAGATTTTAAAAAGCAGTCCAATTCTGGCAACGCTGGCATAGAAAGTCGAATGGGAGAAAATGAAAATGTCAGCTCGTTCGGTAAATTAAAAACATATTTGCTTTTTATTATCACGTGGAAAATATTGCTTTTCTAAAATCATCTCAATAAGTTGTTCATTATGATGAGGAGAATCTTTTTTTGTATAAGCCAAGGCAGCCTTGAAAATTAGTTTCTAACTTTGCACAATCAAGTAGGACACCAGATGGGGAAAAATAGGAGTAGGAAGAGTGTGTAGCACCAACATCCAAAGGGAGGAAAAAGCGGGCATTACGTATCATAACAATATGTTCTCTGTATGTTATATTCGTAAATACAATTAAATAAAAAACAAGAAAACAAGATTAACACGTGAAATCGACTCTGATTTCAAAATCCGAGCATCAGATAAGCGATTTATCCACTACGTCAGCAATTAGTTGCAAGATGGGGTGCACAGATGCTAGACTGATCCAAAGCAGAGTTCTGCCTAGCGACACTTAATGGGACATCAGCCGCACTGAAGAGCTCTGATACAGCGGAACTGTCTGTCTGTGGATGACTCGATATGCTCTCGGAGACCCTTCGATAGAGCCCTCTAGAGGAATGCTCTCGGAGACCCTTCGATAGAGCCCTCTAGAGGAATGCTCTCGGAGACCCTTCGATAGAGCCCTCTAGAGGAATGCTCTCGGAGACCCTTCGATAGAGCCCTCTAGAGGAATGCTCTCGGAGACCCTTCGATAGAGCCCTCTAGAGAAAAAGGGTAAATTTAATAAAAACAGTTAATGCTACTTGCTTTGAATAAATTACTCACCAAGTACGAATTGAGTTTTCTTAGTCACTGGAGTATTTCGTATAGAGAACGCTAAAATTTCCCTTTCTCTCGGCCGTGCCCCGACTGCTAAGTGGTAGGATTTCTGACTGATACTAAATCGGTCGAGTTTCGATCCCGACTTGAAGTAATCGGACGTCTAGGCACATCGAAGAGCTCTAATAGAGCGAAACAGTCTGCCTTTGCACGACTATATATATATATATATATATATATATATAGATAGATAGATAGATAGTTTTATGGGACCTTACCCATAATAACATAATGGACTCTTCCATACGTAATAAATACTGCGCCTCAAGAGGAAGCAGGGAGTTCCATCTGAAGTCTAGATTGCGGTCTGAAGTCTGGAGTGAGGCCCGTCTAAAGTCCGTCAGTCAGTCAGTCAGAGCGAGCGAGTCAGTCAGTCGAGTCAGAGGCAGTCCGAAACAGAGTGGCGTTCAGACAATTACTACTAAACCTGATTGTTCGTACTAACACTTTCTTCTTCTCTGTATATATTCCTGTTTGTAATATATCTGTGTTACTGTATATTCGTATTCGTTCTTTATTAGTTCTACCTTGGACTGACACCGTGGTACAAGGAACCAGACCATAACAGATAGATAATGGGTGTAATAACAATTGTCCAAAACGTGTAACACCAAAATTCTCGCTCACACCTTTTCACTGTCGAAACTGTTAAATGTAGCCGTCTTTTCTACTTCAATAGCTTCATGTCTCGCACCTCTCGCCCGTGGAACTCCCTCCCCTCTTCCTGTTTTCTTGATAGCTATAATCTCCAACTATTCAAATGTAATGTCAATCGACGTCTTCAGATGCCTTGATCTATCCCCTATCCTCCTCGTCATCCTTTCCTCTATCACTCCTATTTGCTTTAACTACAACTCTCTGTAACCCCTTGCCCTAGTGGCTTCCTGCCTTCTTGGGGTGAAACGCTTAATATATATATATATATATATATATATATATATATATATATATATATATATATATATATATATATATATATATATATTATTCCAGGAACATTCTCCAACTTATTCAAGATAATCCTCGCTCTCTCCAACCTTCTAAATTCCTATCCTGGAGTAACAAGGTTCCTCACAGGTTTCACGTCCGATTTCATTTTCGAGTCTTTTTTTTATTGCTCTTTTGACTGTCCTAGGTGAAACACCTCTCTCACGTGCCAAACGTCTTAACGATTGAGTTGGATCTTTTCGAATTGATCTCTTTAGTTGTAAGTTGAAATGATAATCCCTCTTGTTTGTTGTGATCGCCTGATCCATTTTTCCTCTCTACTCTTCCCCCTTTTTAAAAATTATTTACCTTCCTTTTGATAGTTATTGAATGAATTTTGATGATGGAAGCGAGAGTATGAATGATGGTACCATTACTGAAGGCCTGAATGATCTTTTTCCTCCCACCGTTGCGCATTTGGAAAGAGAGCGGAGCTTAGACAAAACGACTTTAGCTTGTTCTCTTTCTAGTTGAATAACTCATTTGGTTTTTCAGTAATTCTTACCACAAACGGTATCAAGATGACTAAACGTCATATCAGAAAACATGCAAAAAATCAATTGGTTTAGTGGTTTTTAGATATTAAACATTTTTGGGGATGGAAAAATATGCCGTTGCATGACTTGGACAATTTTGCTGTTACACCCGGTATATATATATATATATATATATATATATATATATTGCTTCATGTGAAGATGTCAGTACATCATATGCAGCTGTCTAGTCTAAAGTGGCAAATACATGACCTAGTTCAAAATTTTGATGTGTTGAGGGATATTTCAGACTGTTATGTCGGCTATTTGTCATGTGAATGTACTACTTACAGGAACATGACAAATGTAATACACACCTCTAGTTTTATGTAAAAGCCTATATTCAACGATTTAAACAATTCAATATTTCATTATGCCTAACGTTTTACTGGGTGTGAGCAAATATTCATGTCTATGTTCTTTCAGAAGGAGAGTTTATAAAGCCCGCTCTTTGTCGTCAGCTGGTTTGAAGATACCAAGCAAATTCTCCTAGAATGATTTTAGGTTTCGAAATGAACCATGTTGGTTCATTAGAGCAGCTGAACTTCCTATTCTTACAGCAAACTTATGGATACTCTTTAGGTTTGTGATCAGTTTCTGATCAGAGAGTTACTTCCCTTTTTCTTACATATCCTCATCATCATCATCATCATCATCGCCATCATTCTTAGAACCGGGTGTGGTCGTAGGGTCGAAGCGCAGTTTAACACCCGACCAGTTCCTTCAGCATATTGGAAACCGGAGAGGTATTCATTGTATGCGTAGCGAGTCTTCGACAGGTACATTTATCGGATCCGACCCTTCTTCAACTCAAACCATAGCCGATTTCTTCCAACTTGAAGGCCCACCTTGGTCATGGACCTGTAGTCGTTGATTCCATCGACGAAACCTTCCGGCCTGGCCGTTTTCTTCAGACCAGGAAGGTCTCCGCACAGCGATGTGCCATCAACTCACTGACTGCATATAGGGATATGCAGGCCAGTCTATCTCATTTTATACTAGATGGGTGTTGGCCCTACAAGAAGGGTCACCCTCCCTTTAACAGGTCTTATTTTTAATTCTACGCGGTATCGTCACTCTATTCGCTAGAAAAAAAAACTGGTGGGGGAACCGGTTCAGTTGCCGATGACCCGACCTGAAATGCGGCAGGTAGTAATGGCTTAGAGTGTAACAGTAGCACACGTTAAGTGACCTGACATAAGCATAAATATTTTGTCAGTTTTTTGGTAAGAGCAAGTTACCTTCCTTGCTATCATGAATGCACAGATCTATTCATGAT